CATTTTTGGATGCTTATGTTTTTTTCGAAAAAGTCACACCAGCCTTCCGCTGGTGTGGCACAATGGCCTTCTCCTGTTTGATACAAGGCGAGTACAAATGAGGTAGTTTGTTCCCACTAGACAAACGCCCCAGGAATCCGTGTTTTGAGGCACCCATTTCCTTTGACCGTCCACTCTTAAAGCGTATATCTTCCAGAAAAAGGTAGCCGTGACTTTTACGGCAAAAACGTCCTAGCACGTAGCTTAACCCATCTCAGGAGTTTGTGTAAACATTTCGGCAATCAGATTGAGACATCATTTTTTCTCAAACTGAGACTGATACACAATACCGTTAGATTGCAGAGGTTTAGGTATTGTTCATTAAGCTGACATAGGGTATGAGATAATTGTGATAATCTGAGACAAATTAGAAAAACGTGTAAAGGAGTAAAAATATGGAGATGCCTAGTTATCAAGCCCAATGCTCGCCGGTAGCATTGCACTGATCTGTCATACACCGAAAGTCGCTGGTATGCCATCGGTAATATGCAACATTAATCCTGTTAAAAGGTACCGGTTTATGGTTGACAATACGTCAAATTTTTGAAGGGCATTGCTGAATGCCTAAACAGTGTACAACTGCGAGAGATGGTAGTTTGTGCGCGTTTTCGTCCGCGTCGATACCTTAGGTTCATGGCTACCCTGTCTGCATCCTACGTACAAGCATGGTAATTGATTTTCCGCACCAAGTAAATCTATCTCAAGAGTAACGAAAACGTACCGATATGTTCAAATGACGTGGTTTATTTGCACTTCGCCTCACAAAAGTACTATGCTGATTCGTTGGTTATAAATCCAACAGTTTCTTGGTGCTGGAATGTTTTGTTCTGTCATCCATCTCCAGTAAGAGAGAGAGCAGTTCCATACAATTGATTGATTTACCGATCATACCAAGTATTATTATTGAACACGATGCTGACGATGTCCACTGTAACTCTTAGGTATAGCCACGTGGCGCACTGCTTCGTTTTCCGCATTGTCCAATAGAAAACATCAGTAATCGTAAGCTGCAGACTGCATTTTGGACACAGGGGTGAGCTTTCAATTTTTGGCAATATGGTGTTACGTTTTGTCAAGTAAATTTGAAAAATTCTTTACTCCAAACACACGAACAGGCAGTGAGGAAGTTGGCTGTATATTTCATCTATCCTGTGACAGGGGTTCGCGGCTGTTTGCAAGTTGATACTTCTACATCACTAGGGCAAACAGAATTGCACATTTTATTCAGTGCTCCAGGAAAATGTATTGTTTTCCCCATACCTATATCATTTACGTTTTCAGAAGGATCGATGTCTTTCGTGTTTTTCGACAAATGTTTTGAGGTTACAAAAATGGACAAATACACTCATTTGCATATCAACTGGGCTTAGACAAGAGACTCAGTCGAATCTCGTTTTTCACGATATTCTTCAACTGAACTTGCTACACAAAGGCCACCTCATATTTCAGCTATTACGAGATATCGAAGTATCTTTTCATAAAGGGGACTCCGAATCGTTCCTTAGGAATTGGATTGGGGCACAATGTAATGATAAGATGCCCATGAGGTAGTCAAACTGTGATATGAAACCTGAAGCAGCTTTTTCTTCAATGGGGCACACAAGTTTTGCATCTAGCCATCCTGAGGAGTCAGCCGAGACGTGCTATCATTATGGTTTGGCCAACGTAAGAATTGTGTCATTTGTCTTACCTACTAGCCTGCAAGTCATAGATCCATGTTCAGTTTTCTGAAAGCCACTATTTGTATTGCAAATGGACACCCTTCATCGGTCACCGCGCTTCCTCACTAAAACCAAATGAAAACAAGGAAAACAAAGAGATCCCTGGTCTTTCATGCCCCGTGGAATTTACATCTTTATTCCACCATTCTCAAATTCTGATACATTTCGCCGTGTTGTGGCCCGCTGAATTTTGTACCAGTTGCAGTAGGCACATCAAACAAAGTTCGAACCAATCGGCCTTTACAAAGCCTAACAAATGACGTATCGGTGATCGTTTGGGGAGTAGTTTGAGTAGAGACTGTAGACCTCTTTTCTTGCAAAGTGAGTTCCTCTAAAAACAACACGTTTTTGCTATAGTAGCGAAGACTAGCAAGTATGTGCCGATCAGTTAGCAGAATGTGAAGAGAGAGGCCTGTTCCAAGAGACATGAGAATCTGCTGAAATGAGATCCACATCTTTTTTTTTGTTTTACGAAATGGTGGCGGTTTTCAAAGTTAACAGACGTACCCAGTCGGAATATTTAGCGTCTCAGTAGAAACTCCAAGATGACTCGGTGTTGAGATAAAATGAGAACAATGAGTGTCCGGGTCTTAGGTCAGTGGCTGCATCTTCATTCGGCTATTTTCCAGTAATATTTGGATTCCACCCCGGGAGATTGGTAAATTTCAATGGCGATTTCATAGGAATTTTATCATGACATGATGCAAAACACGTTGGAACGTTTTAACATGAAAGCACAACAGAGAAGCGGCCGCCAACGGAGAAGTTTCATGAAATCAATGCAGATTTTATGGCGTCTATCTGGCCAGGCATTAATGGAGGAAACAGAAACGAGACTGGTGAAGCTAGGGTACCTGTCTGCGAACTTCTCAACCATATCTTGTATGTCAGTTTCGGCCCTCATGAAAATAAAATAAGTGCTGTCAGACAGCAGCCAAAACTTCCGCCACAGATGTTCCATTCTGGACATGGTATTGATTTTCCATACAACACACATCCACGACATATTAGTGATGTCGCCTCGACTGATGAAATGTACGGAACCAAATGAGGCGTCCCGGTGAACGAACCAACAACCACTCTGACGAGTATCGATGTACTTCGTATCAGGAAATCAAGTGACCTCAGGGTTTGTGAGTTTCTGGTGCTTAATGCGCACACTTTCTAGATTCGGTTCGTCTCTGGGCATTAAAAAGATTAGGGATCGAACTCATGTGCGCAGTTCAAATCAGACCTGAAAGCATCTCACCGAGAAACAACCCCTTTGACTTACTGGTTTCTGTCTTGCCAAAGTGTGTTTGTAACCTTATGTTACCGCGGAAGTTTCTCAGAATGATCACCATTAATTCAAGGCATTTGGATAGACCATCAACTGAAGCAACGTTCTTCAGTATAGAAGTCAGTCCGGTACACCACCAACCTTTTCACGGTTAAGTATCCGACCGTCGTCATGGATATAGATGACCTCCTTTAGGCTTTTATGATATTCCTTGAGATGCTTTCAAAAGTTGTTGACCAAGAGGGCGGATTAAGCGCGAAGCACGTTTGAATTCTGCCTGCCTAGTGGGAGCCACACTATTCAATAGAGTGCGGATTTGCTGAAAGATGCTTTAGAACTTCGGCAAAGCTGTCTGACAAGTCTGGTTAGTTTGTTCATCCAAATCATGTCTCCTGACTCTTACAGAAGATTTGGTGGATACGGCCGTGGTAATCATCACATGCGTGTTAACATAACATGTAAGAAAGTTGGTTATACGAGTGTTGTACCTAGGGATCATTGACAGGTTAGTTCGCAACTTCTTTCCTTTATTTTTTACATCCGCTAGGTATTCAGTGATCGCAACAAAATGACTGTCCGGTTTTTCCCGCCACATATTACACACCCAACACCCGTGTCTTTGAAGAAACCCGAGTGTCAGCTTCTCATCGCACATCATTTAGAATCCATACCATACTAATTTGACCTTTTGTGCAAATTCTTAGTGAATTTACTGATCATACTTCTGGCCACTTAAGTGACTAACGCAAAAAAGCACGCAGCAACAAGCTACTTGAGAACATCTTGCAGTGCTGTTCAACTTGATTTGATTGGGTCGGTCAGATCGATATCAATTTTCAACTACTCCACTGGAGCACACAGTACCGCTGTAAATCCAGAATATGTGTGAACTTATCAGCCTTATTGAGCATGCTCTTTGACCTGCAAGTTCTCCGCGTGAGACCAAGACGGAGCAGCAAACGTCAGAAAAGTGATATCGTACCTCCGATCAATATAGTTATAATGACCGAATCAACCGAAAGCTATTCAGTATAGAAATCTGTAGGGTGATATGGGGATCGGTCCGTATTGACCTCTTTCTGGTAGGTGTGTTCAGTTGACCTAAATTTTCAGTACAGATCAGAGTAGGTGGTTGAAACAGCAAAGCCAGAATAGTATGCTGCCTTTTAAGTCAACGAGAACAACTTCATCGGCGCAGACCTCAGACTTCAACAAATCCGTTGAAAAATACCTAAACGGATTGTATGGACGGAATACATAAGCTCATATGACTGCTGAAAATTGTTGGACACTCATTCCATAAGCGGCTTTGCCCTCTTGGGGCTGCTCAGGTAGGCGCAGTTCCATAGTTTCTATCAGCCTTATGTTCTATTTGAACTTAAATTGCCCGGAACACGACTTATATACTTATCTGCATACCGGTTTGGTGTTGAAGGGGGAGACTTACCTAAAAACCAACTGAATCTCTCGTTTATCATGTTTCATAGAAATCTTTTTCAATATTTGAATTTTGCATGCCATTGGGACGATAATTACATTCCGTTTAACAAATATAGCGTTCTGGTCTTGTGTTTCTTTAAGTTTGGATCCTACCTCGGCTATACGTTACAATGTTTAGCTATGGCCTTACGTCCATCAGAAATGTGAGACTGTCTGGTGAATTCCCAAACCGGTGAAGTTACACCCTGTCCAGAAATCTGGATTATCCAAGGGACATGAGGGATGGATTCCACCACATGATTTGTGAGCTTAGAAAGGCAGTGATCTAGATTTCATCATTTATTATAATCCATTTTATTAAATCACCTTAGCAAATCTTCCGTGAATCGAACATATTTTTTGGCTCCTGCATTTGCAATGTTGACACCTTTTGGTCCTAGTGAGTTCAGTATAACTTAGCGTCGCTGTGTCGTGATCTTAAATACTAACAAGAATACTAACTGTTATCATTACACATTCAGGCAAATATCCCGAGATCAAAGAACTGATGGGGCCAGACCCTCAACTCAAATGGAAAGTCACTTTCCTCGTATTATTCCAAATCGTCACGCTGTTTTGGGTCCGTGAATTCAGCTGGCCAACCTTATTGATTTGTGCCTACCTGGTCGGAGGCGTGATAAACCACGCGCTAAATTTGGCCATTCATGAAATTTCCCACAATCTGGCGTTTGGACACTCGCATCCAATGTTGAACCGTGCACTCGGAATGTTTGCCAACCTACCAATTGGTACGTCACTGTTTTATATGTCTGGGTTTTGTTGGGTCTATTGGTCATTTGTTTCCGCTACAACAGAACCTACATAGTCTCGAGTACCGTCCATTTCGACACGAATTGTATGTGATCTGATATGGTTCAAACTTTCGAACACCACAAGAGACCTTCTTTGTGAGATAAGCTAACGAAATCACTCAAACAAGGAAACAAACACTATCTGGTTGATGGGAACGTAATTGGACAAAGGGCGAGTTTCCTACCTGACAAAACAGTGGTCATGTTGGAATAATCGGTTCTGTGAAAAGCCTTTCGAGTGGAGGATATCTTGCAGAGAAAATCGTGGAATATCTCATAAGATGTTCATTGTAATCTATACTCGACTGACTACCTTCGTTCCCTATGCGCAACACGAAAGGGGAAAGTTTAGAAATACAGACTAACAGGGCCAGAAAATATCCTCTCATGCAGCCTCTAAATTCACTGAAGAGTTAAGGGCACATAGCTGTTCCGTCATGTTCATTGGGGAAAAACATCGAAAAATCGGGACAACAATGCCTGGGGAAAAGTTCATCTTTCCAACATCAGTCCGAATATCAAGCTGTGAACGACTGTCAGAATTCATTCACTTGTGTCTACCCCGAATTAAGTATGAAAATACCGTTCAGAGATACGTGGTCTATTTCACTGATCCTGTACATCCAAGTGATCAGACTAATAGTGACCATGAGATTTTGCGGAGGTTGGTGCATTGTCTACATTGAGATCTAGTAGGCAACTGTACAGATGACAGAATGCAGAAAAGACGCGTATCCTTTCACCTAAAGATGTTGCACCTTTTTTTTTAAAAAAAATAGCAGATTGCTTGACTGTCGTACTGTATGTGCTATCAGGAGACTGCCTTGCGATATTTGTCAAACCAGCATGATTCGAATTGGTCATCTGGTTCAATCCTATATGTGCAGTCTCCCATCACTCACACCTGTTGCATTTGCATCAACCGAAGCGGTGATAAGTACACCTTAACAGCCTTCAGTAGAGGTGTTTCACATCGGTTACCCATCATTCTGTTAACTGTGCATACTTATAACGATTCCTTCGGTTAGATTACAGTCAGTATTGCTGACCTCACTAGCGGCAGACCGAATTAGTTGATATCTTCGTTTAATTGATTTTTTCGCTTTTATATGTGAGATCACCCCTAGTCGTGAGTCCACACTAATGTTGAACCTGAGTTTTGCTCTTATTGGAGTTCATCAATAGTAAACATCCGTGACTCTGCAGGGGTTTAATTACCAGACTTTTGTCATACAAGGCAGGCGTGTTACCACTATTCCATTGACGCACGCTGGGCGCAGCTACTTTGGCTCGTCTGATCAGGTGGACCGGTTTCCTCTTCATGGATGTCATTGGTTGGACCAACGATTGCGGGAAAATCGGGGACTCATCTATCTGACTGGCCCCAAAAAGGGCGACACCGGTCGTGCATTGTCAAAGGATTTTCACCAAAGCTATAAGTAGTGTAGTTGCAAATGACTTCAAGCTATTCTTTCAGCCATTCAGCACCTTGCTTCTTCTCACTAGTCACTGATCGCCCAGAATGTTTCATCACTGCTTGACCACGAAATTTCGTACCTTACAATAAATGTAATGGTTCAGTGAAACATCAGTTGGTGAACAAAAACGCAGCGCAGCACCATCCCTGGAGCTTGCAGCGTGGTTTTCACTCTCAAAATTACATTAGTAATTGATGCGAGTTTCACTGTTGCCTCCAGCTTTTGGAACTCAGAACACGTCCCATTTCTAGATCGACACGATCGTTTAGTCGACTTCTCGCTGAATAGTACCTTCCAACATAGCAAGCGTGGGGTACGATGAAACAACCATCTATCAAATTACTGAGGCTTGTCCAATCGGGAGCAGGTTGTGAGTTGTACGAACTCATCTGGTTAAGGTTTTGATGGACCAGAGGAAACAGATGATTTTATTCCGGTATGTTTGCTATTTTGAGGATATTGGTCAAAACAATAATTGAGGAGTTGGTCCTTCTGTGGTGTTACGGTGCTGTAATCGCCAGTTAGATCCTGTTGAAATGGGAGTGAGCTGAATTGGATCTAGTCAACTGACCTTTTTCTTGATCGCACTGTCTATTGCTACGAAATTAACCGTATTTTTATATGCCTTCGTGATTTTCGCTGCCTATTCATGATTCTTAGGAATAGTGTTCCCAGATCTTCCTTGCTGACAAATTGCTACTAACCAGGACCACACTTTGTACCGGAGTACAAGGAAAACAAATAATCAGGTGTTCTTGCTGTCATTCAGCGTTGTCGGCAAGCCTAACATTACTATTAGCCTTATATTCACAACCGGAACTGATCTGGTTCTATCTCTTTCTGACTCCAAATTAAGAGGTCATCCACCTCGTCTCCATTCAGAATACGCTTTCTCTCCGATTTCTTCCCTAGTCATTATCCTCCTATGTCCCGTCCCAATGAAGCGTAATAGCCACTCTGTATTTAAGGTACCTGACTTCCATGTACTGCTTTCTCGATGAAATAGTGATTGTAGACCCGATGGCTCATCAGTTGTAAGGATTTCTGTTGACACACCATGGTCCCGGTGTGTCCAAGTCCTGATTCCGAAAACAAAACAAAAATGTAGAATTTTCGGAGAATACCGACTATACCACAACGACTGCTGCCAATTTCGACCGCTTGTACACACCACCCAAATGACTTGGAAACACTCATTATCGTCTTTCAGTTAAAAGGATAGTTCCAGCCGCTTACTACGAAACAGGAACATTGGGGCTGAGTCGTATCGTCTTGGTCCGACACGACCACAGCTTAGACAGTACACCCAATTTTTCGAGTTAATATAAGCTACTTCTGCTCTTTATTTGTAAACATGAGATCATAGTAATCCACCGAAAGATACCCTTTGAAAAATGGTCATTTCTAAGGCCCCAGTAGGCGTTAGCAAAAAGATCCCCGTATGGTTTCTCTTCCAAAATACATTTGCTCCAACAAGAGTTCAAGCTTTCTTTCCTCGAAGAGTGGCTTTACTCGCTTAAGAAGGGCAGAAAACCCCACAATCCAAGGAGATGACGCCACAAGAGCCAAGTGGTAATGTAAACCAGTCGGCTGAAAAAGTTTCAGATTTTTCCTGGGAATCCCATCACTACTGCTACAACCACCCCTACTATAATCTATATGTCAGAAAACATCACTCAGCTTCGACTCTTCCTTCCGAAGAGTATTCCCTCAACTCATCCACTCTAACAGCTGTAGTCTTGCCGTAGTTAGTTATCCTACCTAGTAGTAACTAGATCATGGCGTTGTTTGACATGTTTGTGAAGGCAGGGTCGATGTTGTGTGCAATTCGTTGTTAGTGAATGCTGGCGTATAAATGTCATACGAAGAGTGGAAGCAAAGGAACGCGAAATATCCTGATGGGTCAACAGAAGACTATCATGAAAAAGCTGCCTCCATAAATCAAAAAGTTGACTTTGCTATATCTGAAGACGTCGGCTATTTTATTGTGACGTTTTGTTTTACAAAGTATTTGGTCATTGTGCCGTATCCCAAGCTGTTTTTACCATACTGAGGAAACTTGGATTACACCGTTTTTACGCGACAAGAGAAGCTACTTTGCCTGTTGGGAACCTGGTACCCCACTCGGCCGTCCAGTTGGGCAGCACTAAGTATGTGTGACCTCAGTTTTTGGTGCTAGGTTGTATTTTAGCTAACCCTTGACATGACACAATAGGAAAGTCTATGTATTCAAGACTCCGTCACCCTGTTCGTACGTACTAGTTCCTCGAGGCTTTTCATCAGATCTGCAGACAGTCGCCTTCTGCGTTGATTTCCGCTTGTTCCAAATTATTTGACAACAAGCCAGCGCGTGAAAGGGTGAGTTATTCCTGCACTTCCGCTCTTCGTATGGTGATGGAACATCTGCAAACTGCTCTTCGTATGGTGATGGAACATCTGCAAGCCGATTACGAAGCTCGATGAACAGGCCAACCATGAACCATTGTGTTACTTGCTTAAACACCAACGTAAGTCTCTAAAAGAATCTTGTAAAAGAGTTTAAATGTCTTACCAAAGGGTTGAAATACGCAAACAACAGTGCAAACAATTCGCGGATAAATTAAGGACAACAAAATCGGTGACGAAATCACGGTGTCATTTGATGTGAACTCAGTGATTACGTATGTGGATTTCGATTCCGTCGAGACAAGTGTGGCTGAACTATTGTATGGCTGTGGAGTTCCAAACGGATCCCCCAATAAATAAGACCTATACAAAACCTGTTACATGGTATTTTAAAACAGGCGCTGTGAAGTTTTGAGCAACATTGAAGGCAGGTTGATCCATTTTGCATTCCTCCGTAGGATCTAAAACTGTTTACTCTCTTGCGGCTGTAGCTTATTTGAAGTATTCTGGAAAGCCCTATTGAGTGAGTCTTGTGAAGCGAAGTTTTCAAATTTATCAATAAGATATGTTTGACACGTACGAATTACGTATTTGAAAGGGGGATTCCGGCTAATTATTGTATGACTTGGTGTAAGGCCAAAGCAAGCACGAACAGAACGGCAAGTTGAACTGAATTGGCAACAAATGTGTGCGCACAGCACACAGAAAGCACACTTCAGAAGTTATATTCAAAGTCAATCCAACATGTCAAGGGTCAAAAGTTCATGAGGGATTCTAGGTAAATATCGAATGTATGAGGTAGACGTAGAAAACAGCGGGCTCAAGCAAGGGAAGGGTTTGACCGAGAGAGAGCTTGTGCCACTGTCGTATCACTATCCCTACAGTCCTAGTTGGAAAACTGGCGTTGAGATACGTCGTTGGAACAGCACACTGAAGTGCTTTGAAGCAACTAGTAGATGATGAAGACGTTTGTAAAAGGGTAGAAAAACTAGTGTTTACCTGGCCTACGTTTTCTTATATAAGGGGTGTTTTGATTTCGTCTGATTTGATTTTCTTATAAATAGACTCCGCGGGAGCAGAATGCCATCTCGATTGCGAAATGTGTTGCGAGAAATGTTCTACCCCTTTTAAGGAGCTGTTGTTTTATTCGTTGCTTTTTGAGAAAGTTCGCGAACTGGGACAGAGTGGTCCATTCATGTATCCCTACCTGAGGCTTTTCAACCGTTTTTGTAGTCAGCCGAACCTTTGTACAACGAAGCATCCATGTCGGTTTGTGGTGCTGCATGTAGGCTCTTATCGGTTCGCCGTATACTTTTATCGGTCAGCAAAGTGTTAGTTGAATCTAATTTTCATTGAGTGCACGATGCCCAGGTTTTTCCTCATTCCAGATTAAAGAAAAGGAATATTGATATCACGAGCACGTTTTGGAAATTTCGTATGTGAACGAATGTCATGAAGTTCAATGTACTGTACTATTGACGAAATATTCTTTCCAGCTATGTCAAACCACGTTCAGCTTTAGCTGATTGAAGCTGCTCCTCCGATTTTCTTTATTTTGCGTGTCACATTTTTCCTACAAATGGAAATTTGAGCATGTGACTGGGGACACAATTGGCTCATGGTCAGTCGATGGTTATACTTTCACTGATTGACAACGCGTGACCGGTTTCACGTGTAGCGACATGTGTAATGATCAAGAACACCCGCAGCAATCTTCAAACCGTAGAAGAACTCAGTAAAGAACATGAACATACACCATAGACAGAAACATCAGTGTTGAACAACGGTTCTTCACTGTTTTACAGCCACATACCGTTAAAACTATTGATCGTAATGAGGGCAACCAAATGAAGAGACGGATATCTTGAATCAAAAGAATTATGAGTAACTACGCATTGAAACATGCATTTTGAGCAAACTGCTAGAAACGGACTTTGATAAGAGGTCGTATCTTTCATTTTTAAATGGAGATAGGGCAAACCGTGATTCAAGTGGACAGAAAATGTTCAGTAAATATACTTCGAAATCTGGCAAAAGGTGCTGGTAAAAAATATTATTAGGACCATAGATTTGTCAGCAGGTGACGTAGGATTGTGTTATATCCTCCAATTGCAGCAAGCTCTCCAATCAGAGAAGACATCAGAAAATCAGCTACTTAACTAAGGAACTTCGAGTAGCAATTCATATAAATGTATGCTGTGTTGATTAGTGTTAGGCGCTCGGACAAGGAAGTGAACTAATTAGCGCTCCAAGAGGGTTGGAAGAACATCAACTACATGGCCGTTGTTCGAGCCGTGCAAGCGTTCTTTGGCCGAATGAAGGGTCAACTCGTTTATGGAGCTGTGTACAGGTTATTCAAGCAGTAAAAACCTGTACCTTACGCTTGTTGTTGCTAATTTGCCTTCGTAGGTTTGGTCGTCAACAGAAATGTGTGAAACTTGAAGAGAATTTGAAGGCATAATCGTGTTTCTCAAATGGTTTTGCAGAATAGTTTAAGCATTCAGTTTGCACAGCCTGAAATATTACTTGAAAAGCTTAATGGCTACTGGAAGCGGATTAACTGCACAACAACAGTTTAGATTATCTATAACGGAAAGCTGTAAATGAATAGCGAAAAGAACCGATATAGCAGTGGTAACCCTAGATGCTCGGTAAACATGTGAAAACTACCCAAGGGCTTTTAATGGTGAGACACAACATACTACTTCTTGAAATGTACTTTCCACACTGAGTCAGGCAATAGAGCTGAAAAGTTAAGGTTGTTCAATGGGGAAGATTTGTTGTAAGTTTCTTGAACAAGTGAAGCATTCGAGTGTGGGTGCGATCATAGCAAAATCGGCTAGATTCAGGCGGAGTAAGCTGGTTTACTTCGATAAACAAACAGAATCGATCCCGATTTGGAGCAGCCGCTAACCGGTAAAGTGGGATTGAACTCTTCCGGCTGCAACAGTAACTGTCTAATTGATTACGATAAAGCAACTGCCAAGGTATATCGGACTAGTGCAATAGGTAAAAGCTACTTTATGAAGAAAGCTCTATTCGCTTCTATATTTAGGCCACGGATATGGTTTCTGTGTTAAACTGGTGCATTTGTATGAATTCTAATTTTATGTTTCACCGTTTCAAAAAAATACTCACTCCTCGGTTCTAATCCAGTGATTTTGTGGTTATACTACCAGATTTATTAATTCTCTCCCCGTTGTAGCGTAATTATTCTGTTTAGTCCACACCAACTCTCAAAAGCACCGGACTCATTCTTATTTGAAGTGATCAGTTTTACCAAGGTTTGAACTTGCGAGGAAAGCGTGGTATCAGTGTTTTACCAGGCGACATATTTGGGTTTAAACGACTGGTTGGTTTGTTGATTGAGATGGGTTTGCCCAAAGTCCAGAATGACGACTTAGTAACTATCCTGCTTGCGCTAACTGATGGGCTCTACTGTCAGGACCTCTCACTCACATAACGCCAAGGACATCCAAAATTGTCTGGAAAGCTTTCAATTAGTTGTAGCTGAAGTAGTCATACCATAGGAGCCTCACACGTTGCTGGCATGGTGAAGGATGTACGCTACTGATGGGCTCAAATAACAACAAAACTAGGACCCGGTGGTTTCCGTGCTTTGATGTGTACCAACTAGAGCATGGCGAGTACTGTGCAAATTAAAGTATTTTTAACTCAAAATCTACAAGTCCCGCAACTATTCACAACCACTTCAGCACAGTGTACAATATAGTACATTCGGCCTTCAATGTAAGGGGAAAATGTGCACATCTCTTACATGCACACTGTTGCACTGATGCGCGAAACTGTTATTTCCCCTAAATTGTCACCAAATTTTTAGTTGGTTAGGTGGGACAATACATATTTGTGACAGTTTGGAAAAGTTTGGGAAAAGTTTACAGTCAGCCCACCGATATATTGCGGCTCCAACGCACCTTTCGATTAAATTCAAACATTTACCAGAAAAATTGAAATTCGTGCGATTTTTATCTGTTCTCTAAATTGGTCCCTAAAGTGGTCGCAACAAAAACCTCCTTCTCTGACAATCGTTATTTTTTTTTTTCACTCCTTCTCTGACAATCGTTATTTTTTTTCGTCACCCTTGTTTCTTCAGGTGTGCCCGTGTCAATATCTTTTAAGAAGTATCATATACTTCATCATCGGTATCAAGGCGATAGGGAGCTCGATGTTGATGTCCCAACTGAATTCGAAGGAAGGTGGTTCGCAACAACCGGAATGAAGTTTCTTTGGCTCATTCTACAGCCAGCGTTTTACAGTATCAGACCCTTGTTGCTCTTGCCCCTTCCAGTCACTGGTCTTGAGGTAAGTGGTCCAACAATCCATAGTTTAGACAACAAAACTGTAAATCTGCACAAACCTTCTAGGATTCAAGCATCTGCAGTTTTATACCACTGTTTTGAATCGCCGTCTTCGTTACAAACGTCACAGTCATTATCATCCGCAATTACATAAAATAACGTTGACAGAAACTAAGGAGCTGTATCTATGTGATGAGCTCCCAGAAGTTTGAAACTGGTTGTGGGCAGTCGAAGAGTCTCCATCAACCTTACTAGTAATTTCACTCAAGAAGACTCTTCGTGGTGTTTGTTCCCATCACAGCCACTGTTCACCCCAAATATTTCACTATAGAAACGCTTCTGAGGGTGACGTAGTACACCATGAGAAAATGACTGTCAGAACCTTATTTCAGTTCAAATGGATGTTCGAAATCGGCAGTCACCCTACGACCGAGTTCGTGATTCATCTTAAGAACGGTTCATCCCCTGACATATTTGTGTTCATAGTGTGATCTTCTAAGAAATAAGGTCGTCAACTCGGGTGAAAAGCTCGATATGAAAGGTCCAAACAGCACTTGTACTCCTGGTTGCCCGTTGGCATACAAGAAGCAAGTTAGCTTGTAGTTGTCTCGGACAACTTGCAAACATTTCACTACTCTGAAACTAGCACCTCTTTATCACCGTCAATCTTGGCTAACTCTCTGAGTGCCTTAGCAATTTCAACAAGGCAGTGAGCTAACAAGCCATTGCCATTCACTACACGGGCACGACAACCCATTCACGAAGTCACCCTTTGGAATCTCCCCTTAGAAATGTATTTTTGAAACACGTAAGAACAACTGTCTTCAGAAGTTACTTTATGACGAACACTTATGTTTTGGTCAGGCCGCTGCAAAAGCCTTTCGAAGTAAACACTTCATACAGTATCTGCTTCATAGTTTGGACAGTTTGGTGTCAGTTCAAAGTTATTTACATTATCACGTTCGCTGGATGGCTACTGCGCCTATTAGCAGACGAACTGTGTGCTAAGATCGACTTAGAATTGCCCATAAATTTACCCAGGAAAAAAGATAGTTATCTTAAAACTATATTCGGCAGGTTTTGAGTGAAGAGTCTAACTGCGTATGATGTGAACGAAAATATGAATTTCTGGAGTACGAACTGAACCCAAGACCGACGTTTATGGTAAAACATCCTCGTCAGATAGGGCAGTACCTAACGAGTAATCTAGAAGTCTTTGTCTCGAGTTCAGAGTCAGATTTTATTATTTAGTCTTCCTTGTGTCCATCTTGTGCGCTTTCGGGTCGGAAAAAATTAAAAGCGACTTCCTCCGAAACGCTTCTGATTTTTTTCTCTCTGATTTTTTCTTTTTATCCAACAGCTTATCAACATTTTGGTACAGGTTGTGTTCGACGGCCTCGTTCTCTATCTGTTTGGCTGGAAAGCTCTCCTGTACTTGTTCAGTGGAACACTGTTAGCAATGGGAGTCCATCCAGTGGCTGGACACTTTATTTCAGAGCACTTCGTATTCGATGAAAAATTTGAAACCTACTCGTATTACGGAATTCTCAACTTGCTTACGTTGAATGTTGGCTACCATGTGGAACATCATGATTTTCCCTACCCCAAATATTTCACTATAGAAACGCTTCTGAGGGTGACGTAGTACACAACCCATAAGAAAATGACTGTCAGAACCTTATTTCAGTTCAAATGGATGTTCGAAATCGGCAGTCACCCTACGACCGAGTTCGTGATTCATCTTAAGAACGGTTCATCTCCTGACATATTTGTGTTCATAGTGTGATCTTCTAACAAATAAGGTCGTCAACTCGGGTGAAAAGCTCGATATGAAAGGTCCAAACAGCACTTGTACTCCTGGTTGCCCGTTGGCATACAAGAAGCAAGTTAGCTTGTAGTTGTCTCGGACAACTTGCAAACATTTCACTACTCTGAAACTAGCACCTCTTTATCACCGTCAATCTTGGCTAACTCTCTGAGTGCCTTAGCAATTTCAACAAGGCAGTGAGCTAACAAGCCATTGCCATTCACTACACGGGCACGACAACCCATTCACGAAGTCACCCTTTGGAATCTCCCCTTAGAAATGTATTTTTGAAACACGTAAGAACAACTGTCTTCAGAAGTTACTTTATGACGAACACTTATGTTTTGGTCAGGCCGCTGCAAAAGCCTTTCGAAGTAAACACTTCATACAGTATCTGCTTCATAGTTTGGACAGTTTGGTGTCAGTTCAAAGTTATTTACATTATCACGTTCGCTGGATGGCTACTGCGCCTATTAGCAGACGAACTGTGTGCTAAGATCGACTTAGAATTGCCCATAAATTTACCCAGGAAAAAAGATAGTTATCTTAAAACTATATTCGGCAGGTTTTGAGTGAAGAGTCTAACTGCGTATGATGTGAACGAAAATATGAATTTCTGGAGTACGAACTGAACCCAAGACCGACGTTTATGGTAAAACATCCTCGTCAGATAGGGCAGTACCTAACGAGTAATCTAGAAGTCTTTGTCTCGAGTTCAGAGTCAGATTTTATTATTTAGTCTTCCTTGTGTCCATCTTGTGCGCTTTCGGGTCGGAAAAAATTAAAAGCGACTTCCTCCGAAACGCTTCTGATTTTTTTCTCTCTGATTTTTTCTTTTTATCCAACAGCTTATCAACATTTTGGTACAGGTTGTGTTCGACGGCCTCGTTCTCTATCTGTTTGGCTGGAAAGCTCTCCTGTACTTGTTCAGTGGAACACTGTTAGCAATGGGAGTCCATCCAGTGGCTGGACACTTTATTTCAGAGCACTTCGTATTCGATGAAAAATTTGAAACCTACTCGTATTACGGAATTCTCAACTTGCTTACGTTGAATGTTGGCTACCATGTGGAACATCATGATTTTCCCTACATCAAAACTACCTCTGGTATGTTGCTACTAGTATTGTCGTACTGTCTAGAATTAAGTTAACGAGCACAATATTGTCAACTATTTTCAGAGGTATCTCGTTTCGTATGGTTAACCTTTGGGTTCAGCCTTTACGAACAGTCGCTCGACGATCATCCACTTATTTCACACCAAGATTTTCAAAGAGTATTCTGAGCCCCCTTTAGAGCACATCTTCAGTAAGACACCTCGCTGATGTCGTATGCCTAGACAGAGCTGAAGTTTCTTTCACCTGATACATTAGGTCCGTTTGGGAAATGTTCGCAAACCAAATTATCCCTGGAGGATGTCTTTTGGGCTGTATGGGAATGTAAAACGATGATTTATTTTCACAATCAACGTAAAAACCGTGGAAAATTGCGAAAGGATTGGCTACTCTGTTCACTAAAGTTGTTCTATCCGATGGCAGATTAACTCGTCTCGATGAGGCACCAGGTTGTACATTACGCGCCATCCCCTCCTTCTCGGAAAGAATGTTTGCTTAGTTTTAGGTTGCTTTCAGATTCACTCGCATATGAACATGTCTGAATGCTGTTGTAGCTTACTGCAAAGCGCTACTGTAGCCCACTCTGCAAACCGATCACACCTCTGTGGTGGCAGTCTGGCTGGTCCGTCCGGATTCCTATTCGCCGTTTGCCGAATTTTCGCCTCTCATATCATCAGTAAGCAGTGGTTGCCCCGACTACACCAGATTCTGCTATTCCTGTAAAGCTAAATAGGTACCATAAACCGATCACACGTGGTGGCAGTCTGGTTGGTCCGTCCGGATTCCTATTCGCCGTTTGCCGAATTTTCGCCTCTCATATCATCAGTAAGCAGGCAGTGCCCCGACTACACCAGATTCTGCTATTCCTGTAAAGCTAAATAGGTACCATAAGCATACATTTTGATTTGCCCAATATATATATATATATATATATATATATATATATATATATATATATAGAAAAGGATATTTTTTTTTACATCTGTATTAGTT